GTGAAAAACCTTTTATAGGAAAAGTACAAACAAGAGTTAAAATTTTTTTTCTACTCATAATTATGAGCAATATTGAAATTTTCAGGAAGAAATCCAAACGTAAGACATTTAAAATGCATGCTAGGTAAATTTCGTGTGATAAATAGGAAGGAAGCAGCGAGATCTTGCTAATTGACAGCTCTGAGCAAGGGAATGTGGAGAGAGGAAAGAAGGAATTGTAAGCTCTGGGAGTTGTTGAAAATCAGAGCTTGAGGAAACCGCTCATGAGAAATTAATGCTGCTATGAAGACAACAGACATTTTTCTGGGTGTTTTCTAGTTCACTCAAAAACTGAAGAAGTGCTCAAGGGCAGAGCTAGTGAGCATGGTGGGTCCAAGCCAAGAGCCGGTTTCAGGCCCCACAATGTGGCTCTGTGGTTGAGCACCGACCTCTGAACCAGGAGGTCACGGTTCATTCCTGGTCGGGGCACATGCCAGGGTTACAGGCTCCATCCCCAGTATGGGGAATGCAGGAGGCAGCCAATCAATGGTTCTCTCTCTGAAATCAGTAAAATAAAATATATAAATAACTATATCACACAAAAGAACTGGTTTCAGATATAGAAGCTACAAAGATGTTCAGAGAGACCTTTGGCCAACAGTCAAGTGAAGGCCAAGGCTTAATGGAGGTAGACAGTTACCTCCAATGCTTTCTTGGGTGATGCTGACATTACTGCAAAGATCTTATAAGCTTCTCTTTGGGGGCTGCTGTTTTCCCAGTCTGTTATTAAAGCAACTGGACTTGGGAATCTAGTCACTCTCCATCAACTGACCAAATCTTTTTGATTCAGAAACTCCCTCCTCTGTTGAAAGGGGGGTAAAAAAGGCTATTGATGAGGAAAATTAACCTACAGAGTATTTATTTATGGTATTACTACCTCTTTGATGACATGACAAGGGCTAGTTAGTAGAGACTTTTTAAATGAGAGCAGGGTAAAAGGGAATTTCAGGAGAGGGGTATTTTTCAGAAAGCAGTTCCAGGGAGTGTGCTTAAAAATCATCGCAATGTAGCAATGCAAATTGGGACATACTGAATCACAAATTAGGGGATGCTCGAGCAATATTCTGGATGGGAGTTTAATGTGGAGGGTGTGTGTGAAGGGGAAGAAAGAGAGATTAATTTAATTCCATTTGCTGGTGTGACCGGAGCACAACTATTTTTAGGTATAATCCAAACAGTGCATATCTTCTCCATTTTGATTAGTAGCAAATTGGCAGGGAGTCAAAAGAATTAGTATTTCTCAGCACATTATGCCAGAAACGTACAAATAAAACTAAATGATCTGTGCCAATGTGTTTAATGTGAATTTCTGCTAAGGTTTTTATTTATTTTTCCCTTCCAAAAAACGAATGGGTTCAGCTTTGTTAAAAAAAAAATATATATATATTAAGCCTTTCTCAAATGGCAGCAGAAGTGAATAGAATACTTTTCCTTTAGACCTTCGGTTAGAAGCTCTTGCTAAAAAAACTGAAATGTTAATATCATCCTGAGACTTCGGGTGCAGAATTTCCGCCTGGCAATATTACATGTTGCCAGAGGAAGTCGGCGCATTCAACAAAATGCAAAATTAAAATAAGCTAGGAAAATGTGCTTGACAGGGAAAGCTTTCACAATAGCCACTTAGAAGTTATTAATAATTCCAGTTCCAAAGAAAGCTTGGACTGAAAAAATAAACTCTATTTGCAAAGTTCTATGTAGGCAAGTTCACCAAGGGAAGAAGAAGTCTGTGTTACCAATTATACATTTCTACCTTGGAGGGAGAATTTATAGATGCTGGACTAACCTTGTTACCCGTTAGAGAGCTTTATAGGGTGCAAAGGAAACATCATTTCCAAGGCAGCCATTCAATGAACCTTGATCATATTGAAGTTCACTGTTTTGATTTTAGTGTTAATACCGTCGTCACTTTGTTATACACAAACCCATGGGCTAAGGTGGATTTTCTGCCTATTCATTGCCCTCCACCTGTCACTTCTGCTGTGCATTATTTCACCAGATTAAATAGGATTGGCACTTTCTTCCTCCCACTGCTTTAGCGATTGGGACGGGCAGCCCAGCTCCCCACGTCCCTACCATAAACCAGCGTCTGTCTTCTTTAAAAAAAAGCAAAAAGTAGTCTGCATGGGTGGCTGGAAATCACTGGCACAGTATGTTTTTGAATCCTCTCAATTCCTTAGTGAGAGAACTCAGGAATCACACAAAAATCTTTTTCTATTTTCTACAAATAAATGTAAACTGGTCCCCAGGTTATTGTGGTTTCTTGTCATTTACGAAAGAGCTCAGAGCTGTCTACTAGATAAAGTTATACATATCTTTGTTTGTTGTTTAAAGTTTAAGGGGCTTTTCATCATTTTAAGACCTGAGGTCTGATGTATGTTTTGGGCTGGGAAAATGTCTTTTTATTTCAATGTAAGGACAATCTATGCAAAGTAAGTAGATAATAAGGAAATGGAGAAAGTGAAGCTTTAACCTGGTACCTCAGTATTCTTCAGATGAAACTCTAGACATTTAATCTATTAATTGTGCGGTATAATTTAAAATAAAGCGCAACAAAACCCCTAACAAAAGGCATCTTACATACTCGTGGTGGGGGAAGGGAGGGTAGATATGACTGCATTTAGTACCTGGGGGAAAGAGTGAGATTTCATCCTGAAATTGATTCTGCATCCTCCAAAATAAGTTTCTTTAAGTATTTATCTTTGTCTTCTTAAAGAAGTTTTGCCCTTCTCCACTCCCCCCCTTTTTTTTTCTGGAGGAAGGAGTTAAACATATAGCAGCTTGTATTGAAATGGCTACTGTTCATGCAGCCTTCTGCTGCTCTCTAATCACCCCACATCACGGACCCTTCTCAGAAGGCTGTCTCCTGGTCTTTAGACTATCCCCCCTGCAGAAAGGGACAATCAGAACCCACTTTCCTTAGCGGAGAACAGTTAAAGCTCAGGACGGGCCCCAAAGTTCTACTCTTCACTTTGCTTTCTTTACTGCACCATCCTGAAATGAAGCGCTGGTTTAAAAAATACAAAGCATACATCCTCAAACCAACTTATTCTGGAGAATGTCGCATTCCTCCCAGGGTACAGCTTTCACTCTACTTTCCTTAGGAACTAATTTCAGGAAAACGATCCCCTCCATTGGCTGTCATCATGCTGCTAGGAAGTTTTAAAACTTCCCATTTGCTTCTACCTGGGACCGGCCCACCCAGAACTTGTGGTCTCTTTAATCACACGACAGAGAACAATATTTACTTCAAAGCTCTTGTATACATTTTTGCTTGACCACCAGAACATGTTTCACTCTGAACAGCCACTGGAGAAATGTGCGCACACCGACCATCTGCGGGCTGTGGGATTCTCTCATGGGAAACAAGAAGTCACGGAGGCCACTTACCGGATTCCACGCAGGCAGCTTGTTCAATGAGTTAAGTCTTCTTTCCTGCCGTTCGGTGCCACGTTGCAGCTGAGTTACCTGGCTCCATCACTTTAGAAGACACACAGTCCCAAATGTTACTTCTTAAGTCGGGTGCAGCCATGGGCTCTTGAAAATACTACAAGTAGTCTAGCGTATCTTCAAGCGGTTGTGGAAATTGAGGGCGAGTCTGCAGGTCTCCGTAGGTACGTGCCTTATTTGGTTTAGAGGCATTTTGCTATGTTACCGAGTCATGAAAAGCTATTAAAAGAGCTCCCTGGAAAATCCTATATTTTGCACAAAACAAACTGTCTTTTCCCTGGTCACGGACCCCTCACAGACACACGGCACATAACCATCATTGTGCTTCATTGGTATTTATTGCACATGGACCAATTCCTCACACAGTAGTTAGTTGCACCAGCGTATAAATACTTGGTAAAACACACAGAGGAAATAGAGTTTATACAGAAAGTGCTCAATTTTACCAGCAGATTCACGTGGGCACTTGGACATAAAAAAATAATAGAAAAATCCCCAAGATATTTATATTTATAATATGGATACAGTTACAGTACCATGATAAAAGAGTACAAAAAGGTATTTTTCCAATATATCATTAGCTCAATAAAATCATAGCCAACAGAAGTAGAGCTTGAATTTTAGTTTAGTTTTTAAGATCTGCCCTCCCTCCCCACTAAAAAATATTTAATTTCTTCTTGTGCAAGTAACACCTCTGTGGACTTTACAATTTCTAACACTGTGCAAAAATGGCATTTTGAACCACTCCTTTTTTTTGTTTGTTTTTGCCCACATGTGCAGTAATCTGAATTGTTTCCTCTTTTTTTTTTTTCCTTTTTGTCTTTTCTTTTTCTGTTCTGTCTTCAATGGACAGAGTCACATGTCATAGAGGCTCAGTGCCTGGTCCTTCCAACTAATATTGATACATAAATAAGCTGTTTAATATAAACAAGTCTTTCTAGCTTGCTGTGCAATGTGCACAGTGTGAGGTAGAAACCCCGCAGCCGGGCCACCTAGGGCGTGGGGACAGCAGGCTTGCCCTACACAAGGAAAGCAAGGTGAGGCGTGTTCCAAGAATAGCTTACAATTTTTTCTGTCTTTGTTTTTGAAACGCACTTTTTGCATCCACCCTTTCCCTTTGCTTTCAGAGCAGGAGAAACCATTCCTCGGGAATTACACTGAAATTTCTCTGGAAAGCAAATGGAAAGACGGCTTGACAAACTGCCATTCCCTCCCCGCCCCCCCCCCCCTCCCCCGTTGACTGCTCCCGTCCCGGAAAGGGGGATGGAAGCCACGTTGATAAACAGGTTATACCCTCACGCTTCTTCCTTCCCTGCCCGGCCCCTGCAGCAAGTGTCACCCGGGGAAAAACTATCTAAAGAGGCATCGCACGCGCGCACAAACAGGGAAAGAACCCGAGAGCCCTGAGCAAGCCGCTGTCCCACCTCTCCCCAAACTTCCCTTTCTGGCAACGGTCCGTGACGTTCCTGTTTGTTTTGGATGATTCAGGCGAGGTTTGTGGGCTTCGAGTTCACCTGCTGCAGGTCTTGAGTAAACACACATCTCTTTCCCCTGGGAAGCCATTCAGGGCGCCGGACCGGCTCCGTCCCGGCGCGCAGAGCCCGCGCGTCCCGGCGGGGCGGCGGGAGGCGGCGCCGGGCCCTACACCTTGGATTCCGAGGTGCAGCCGGGGCTCGGCTCGTCCAGGCTCGAGTCGCTGTCCGCCGCCGCCCCGCCGTTGCAGCCGGCCCAGGGCTCCAGCAGCCGGCCGGGCGGCGCGGCCCCGACGTCGTCGTCCTCCTCCTCGTCGTCGGAGGCGGCCCCGGGCGACGGCGTGGGCCCGGCCACCGCCAGGCAGCCCGAGGCGCGCGAGCGATCGCGGGGGGCCGCGTGGCGCCCGCGGGCGGCCCGGCGCGCGCAGCACAGCAGGTGCTGGAAGGCCTTGCGGAAGTCGGGGCTGCGGCAGTAGATGATGGGGTTGAAGGCCGAGTTGGCGTAGCCCAGCCAGTTGAAGAAGACGAACAGGCCGTCGGGCACCAGGTCGGCGTGGAAGGCCTTCACCACGTTGGCCAGGAAGAAGGGCAGCCAGCAGAGCGTGAACACGCCCATGATGATGCCCAGCGTCTTGAGCGCCTTTTGCTCGCGCAGGGCCACGAGGCGCGAGGGCCGCCGCTTGCTGGTGCGCCCGGGGTCCGGCGGGGCGGCGGGGCGCGGGGTCCCCGGGGAGGGTGCGGGCGAGGCCGGCCGCGCGGGGCCGCCGAGGAAGCGGCGCTCGCAGCTGTCGATCTTCTTCACCTGCTTCTGGGCCTCGCGGAACACCCGCAGGTACACGAAAGCCATGATGCACAGGGGCAGGTAGAAGGAGACCACGGACGAGGCGATGGCGTAGGCCCGGTTCGTGACGAAGTCGCAGCACTTGGGGTCGTTGTAGCAGCGGCGCGCCTCGTCGCCCTCGGCCCGCCACCAGTGCATGAGGATGGGCAGGAAGGACACCAGGGCCGAGATGGCCCACACGGTGCACACGAGGGCCCGCGCCCGCGCGCGGGTCAGCAAGCTCTGGTAGCGGAAGGGCGAGGTGATGGCGAGGTAGCGGTCCAGGGCGATGACGCACAGGGTCTCGATGCTGGCCGTCACGCACAGCACGTCCACCGAGGTCCAGAGCTCGCAGAAGAAGGAGCCGTACTCCCACCGGCCCCACACCACGAGGGTGGCCCCGAAGGGCACCACCAGCAGCCCCATGACCAGGTCGGCGCTGGCCAGGGAAATGATGAAGAGGTTGGTGAGCGTCTGCAGCCGCGGCGTCTTGGCGATGGCCACGATCACCAGCACGTTGCCCGCCACGATGAGCAGCACGATGAGCGCCATCAGCAGGCCCATGCCGGCCGTCCACTGCTGCGACAGCGGCGCGGGGCCCTCGCTGGCCGGGGGCAGCAGCGAGGCGGGCGGCGACGCGGGCACCAGCAGTCTCGCCGCGGTGGCCGCGCCGTCGGGGAGAGGCGCGGCCGATGACAGGTTGCAGGGCTCCGAGGCGCCCAGGGCGAGCACCCCCGCGCCCATGTTGAGCTGCGGAGGCCGGGGGCGGGGGGTGTGGCGGGGTTGGGCCGTGTTTGGGGAACACCCCAGAGGTCCGGGCGGCTGGGCCCGCCGAGGGAGGTCGCGGCCAGGTCAGGGCAGCCGCGGCGCGGAGCCGGAGGCATGGGCGCCGGGCGCCTTCCCCGCCGGAGCTGCGCGCTGTCTCCGCCGCCGCCGCCGCCGCCTCCGCTGCTGGAGCCGCTGCCGCTGCCGCTGCTGGAACAGCCGCCGGGACCTCAGCATGTTTCTGAGCGCGCCGAGCCCGCAGCCCAGGCACCCAACACCCACCCCACCCCGCTCCCACTCCCCCAAGCCAACCTCCGGAGCCTCGCGTCAGACGCCGGCAGCCAATCCGGGCAAAGGCACGCCCCTCGCTGTCCCCCCCTCACCCCCGCCCCAACTCCCCGCAGCCTCCTCGCACCCACAGCTCAGAGGCTCTGGGGAGTCCGCGGCAGATCTCCCAGCCAGCGCCTCCCGGGCGCCCGCCGGTGCCTGGAAGCGCACCCCTTTCTGCACCCGCCGGCTCCGGGGTCCCGTTTCCCCAAGCTCCCTGCGGCGGCGTCCGGCTCTCACCCGCGCCCCTGCCCGCTCCCGGGGCCCCCACTCTCTCGTGCGCTCCGTTACCCTCTGCGCTTCTTCTGCCTCCTGCGTTTGGCTCCCTCCTGCGCCCCCACTCCCCCGGCTCCCCGTCTCCTCCGGTGCCCAGATCGCCAGCCGGCGAGCCCGCGCTCCCTTCCGCGGAGAGGGGACCTGGGCGTTCTCTAAGCCCAGAGAGCGTTGGACAGCCTGTGCGCGGGGGTTGGAGGAGTTTGGCGGAGAGATTGTTCCTCAGGTCGGGCAGCCTAGCGGAGTGAGTGTAAAACCCTTTCCCCTTCTAGCGGGGGCCGTCAGCCTGCGCCCTGCCAGCTCCGGGGATAGAAAGCGGGTGTTCGCGGTCAGAGGAAACTTTCCAGCCGAGCGCCTGGCTAAAGCGAACCGCGCATCTGTCAGGAATGCTCTCCGGGCGCGGTTCTCGCCCGGAGCTTGCGTGCCAGTGCGGTAGATGCGGCAAGGAAGGCAAAGGCTAGCTGACAGCTAAGGCTGAGGACCGGTAGGAAAAACACACACTCCCCAGGCCCAGCTGGCGAATCTGAGTATGATGCAACCGTGTGTGCCTGCACGACAAAGACAGTGGCTTAAGGAAGCGCAAACGTTTAAGCGTAGAGTAAATGACACCGCCACCAAGAGAGAGCACACTTAATTACACTGTGGACTTTTCGCAGCCAGTAAGGACACCTGTATTTTGTGCTTTATGATTCACCTGATCTGATCGTTTGAGTTGGGCCAATCCAAACAAAAAGGCTCTGTTGGTTTTTGGTTGAGGTAATGAACTGAGATTTCAGATTTCTTGGTTGTTTTCTCCTTTGCCCAAGTCCCCAGATTCTCAAAACTCTAGGATTAGTGTTGGGAGGGAGGAGACAAGAAAACATGTAAATACCCAGGAGGATTAAAAGCAGATAGCAGTTGAGATTAGAGCCGTGGTTTCTGAGTTGGCAAATGAATCGGTTTGAAATTCGTGAGCCTTGGGCCCAGCTGCCTGTGGATTATATGTGGGGATGAAAGGACAGAATAAGTCGCCAGGAACACACAACCCCCTCTCAGATTAAGCCATGGTCAGCTTTGAAAAGAAAACACCTTTAATTAAATCCTCTAGAAGGAAACAGCTTCTAATAAATAACCCATGTAAGGGTTTGTGAGAATATTCTGTATCACTCACACATCTTTCTAGCAACTGGAGCATTCTACCTGGCACAGAGACTAACTTCCACAGCCACCCAAGTCAAGGGCTAAAAGCAATGCGTATTCAGTCATAAAGACAAGCAGTTTTAACCCCCTTCTCTTACTTAAATCCAAGTATGTAAATTTGCCTTAGGGCCAAACTTGATCATTGGAGTTTAACAAGGGGGGGCTGGTGGGTGGTTCTTTTGTTTATTCACTCCTGTCCTGGGAGTTGTCAGTTTACTGTGACAACTTGGAGAGGTTAGGATGAGCAAGGAAAGGAGATGGACTAGAAAGAGGGGAGCGCCAGGCCCAGGGCCTGCCCCCTGCCTTCAGTGTAAGCTTTGGAGAATCTTAGTTACCCACATCACCACAAACCTGTCTTCCCTTCCGGCTTCTTTCTGTCCCTCCCTCTACCCCCTTGAATGGGCAGTCTCAAAATAGCCAAGGGAATTTGATGTTGAATTTGATGTTGCCCCTGCTGTGGGGTGAGGTGTAGGGAATGCAGGGAGGAGGCATTCTATCCAGCGCCATCTTTCTGACAAGTAGTGTTACTGAAAGAGCCTGTGCCAAGTTTAAGTGCCCCAGAAGGACGGACTGCAGTTTTCTGTCAGTGATAAGGCCGGAACTGGCTTGTGGGCGTTCATTGCAGAAGCCTGGGTGCCAGTAACTGTAGCGTATGTATCAATATGTATGTATTTGTACACATCATGTATACATGTATTTGTGTACACGTATGGGGGCATGATATTTGAACTGTGGAAAATCTCTCCAGAAAAATTTCCACCGCTCATTGAGAGAGAGAGAGAGTGAGAGAGAGAGAAAGGCTAAGCTTCTCTGAATTTCTGGAGAATAAACTCATTAAATGGAAATCAAAACCAGAAGGGTATTGTAATAGGAGTTCCACCAGAGGGCTGCAGGCATAAAGGGCTCTCAGGGTTCTTGGGGCTTTCCTTCAGTGACTAACGTTAGATTTCTCTCCAAATAAATTGTTCTCAGATCTCCTTTAAAATTCCTACATTTCATGGCATTTTTTTGGGGGGGGGGGGGGGAAGCACTTTTCAGCTAACACTTTTTATCTTGAGATAAGGATACAAGATCAAGAAGAAAAGGTTCAATATATCCACTTGTACAGGCATTATATGTTGCAAGTTCAAAATGAACAATTCCTCCATTTCCCCATTCCCACTTACAGCTGTTAAAATGAATCACTTCAGTGCAGAAGCCTGGATGCCAGTACCGTAGGAACCCACAGATTTGACAGTATTTGAGAAAATAACCGTAAGCTCCAGCAATAAACGCTATCAGCACCTTTGGGAGCTAGTGGGCTTCTCCCTCAGTATTTCCTGCCCCCCCGCCCCCCTCTACCTTTCCCATCCCACTACCATCATTTCACACCTGAACTTGGCATGGGTTTTCTGTGATCTCCCGGCCTCCAGTCCTCTCTGCTCCACTTGATTTGGCATACCATAGCCAAATTAATATCTCCAAAATGCTGCTGTCACCAAGGTGCTTGTCTGCTCAGAAACTTTAACTCCTCAATTTGGCATCCAAAGCCCTCCACAGCCCATTTCCAAGTAGCCTTCCCCGAACTATCTTGTACTGGAACTCCCTGCCACTCTAACAGTTCTCTTTTCTTCCCCTTTCTGGATGTAAACTTTTTTTTTGGTATCTGTACTTCCCTTGAGTTTCTTCCACCAAGAAGCCCCTCCTTCATCTCTGTCGCAGTGGATCCAGCCTTCAATATCTGGCTGATACCTTTTTTCACCTCATAGTCATCTCCATCCACTGCTTCTGGAAATGATTTCTCCTTCCTCTACCTATCGTATTTACTCTGCTCATCGCATTTCATGCGTCAATGAACAGTATTTTGCCTTTTGACATCTCTCATATTGCTATTTAATTTTTATATGTTTTTCTCTTTTCTTTTCATATGAATTGCAAGCTCAGTGAGAGCCAGGATTGGCCTATACATTTTTATACCTCTCCTGTTTACTAGTAGTTACTTAATATTAATTATAATTAAGCTTTGATTCATATATATTGATTGTTCAACATTATAATATTCTCATATTTACCAGTATGAGTAATGATTGAGTGGTTTTGGAGTTATAATCTTCCCTCATGCTTAGAATTTACAGTACTAACTCATATTCCTATAGCCTAGTCAATATATATATTAATAAAATGGTAATATGCTAATTAGACTGGATAGACCCTATGTCTTCTGGATGTCCTTCCAGACAAAGCCGCAGCGGCTGTGAGGGCGAGGAGAACCGGAGGCCGGCAGTGGCAGCAGCAGTGGTGGGGTGATGGGGTGGTGCCTTCCTCTGATCGGTCTGGTCACCTCCCGCAGAGGGAGGCCAGACTTGGGCTTAAGCCAGCCATGGGCAAACTACGGCCCACGGGCCGGATCCGGCCCATTTGAAATGAATAAAACTAAAAAAAAAAAAAGACCGTACCCTTTTATGTAATGATGTTTACTTTGAATTTATATTAGTTCACACAAACACTCCATCCATGCTTTTGTTCCGGCCCTCCGGTCCAGTTTAAGAACCCATTGTGGCCCTCGAGTCAAAAAGTTTGCCCACCCCTGGCTTAAGCTATCAGTAGGACATCCCCTGAGGGCTCCCGGACTGTGAGAGGGGGCAGGCGGGCTGAGGGACCCCGCCCCCGAGTGCACAAATTTTCGTGTACCAGGCCTCTAGTTTTTATATAAGCATTTCAAAATAACTTACAAATGCAAGATAGGCTCATGAGGTAAACAAATGTATACCATACCTACTCAGTAATGAATAAAGTAGGGCATAGGTAACAGGTATTCCAGAGGGGCCAGGCACATCCACATCTGTAAAAACCACTACCCGATCTTCACAAATATTCAAGGCAAATGGCCTCTTTTCCCCGTTAATCAATTAAATATATGTATAGCTCACATTTGTTGCATTGTTTACGATTAAAAGTATTTTGGGTCTTTATTTAAAAGTTTGGTGATGCCGTAACCGGTTTGGCTCAGTGGATAGAGCGTCGGCCTGCAGACTCAAGGGTCCCAGGTTCGATTCTGGTCAAGGGCATGTACCTTGGTTGCGGGCACATCCCCGGTAGGAGGTGTGCAGGAGGCAGCTGATCGATGTTTCTGACTCTCTATCTCTCTCCTTTCCTCTCTGTAAAAAAATCAATAAAATATATATATTAAAAAAAAATAAAAATAAAAATAAAAAAATAAAAGTTTGGTGATATGTTTGTGACCAGAAATAAGCTGTAGGAACTTAACTGTTGTTTACATCAGTTAGGCAGATGGTAAAATTGGTTCTTTTAAGAAATATTTATCTTTATCTTTATTATTGAAAGTATTACA